GTGTGTCTCACAGAGCATAGCCTGAGCATTAATAACCTCAAAGCCTGCCTCCAGAATAACACGCTTCTTCCAAAATGGCCACACCACCAAATAATGCCACTTCCTATGGGCCAAGCATTCAAACATATAAGTCTATGGAGGTCACACCTATTCAAACCACCACGTGAAGACATCAAGTTTTAATAAGTATCTGTCTAATAAAATTAAGAGAGGCTATCTCCTTGCCTTTGCTCTATAAATTCAATGGACTTTGTCATCTTTCTTTAGCATTGCCATACTATTATTATACTCTTAATTTGATCATTTTACATATACTGTTATATGAATTGGCTCAAGTTTCATTGAGGGTATAATGAAAATCTGTGGGCATTAGGGATATTTACCAATGCTTATATTTCTCATCATATCCTTCCTGGGATTCATCACCAATGTCTTGATAGCCTCATGAGACCAAATGAGGACACTAGCCATTCTCTTTGCTGGAAGCGTGTGGGATGTTCAAAAGTTTGAGGCCCAGGGAAGAGGCTTAGTTCAGGAAAGTGCTTGTCTAGCCTGCACAAAGCTCTCAGCTCAATCTCTAACGCTAAATACATCAAGCATGATGGCACAGGCTCATCAACTAAATATTTGAGAGCTAGCAATAGGATAAGAAGTTCAAGGTCGTCCTTGGCTACATTGTGAGTTTGAGGGCAGCATTGTATACACCAGACTCTGTTTCAGAAAACTTAGAATTCAATAATTAATCCATTCATGAATGTTTCTCTGTCCAAAGTTTTAAAGTTCTTCTTTTCAGCTTTGCTAGTCTGACAAACCACTCATACTCTTGCTACTTTTTATGCCTGCTTCTGTGTATTGTAGTTTTCTAGAAAGGCAGTCATCTCATTTTCAGAGTTCTGTCATAAGGTATTCACAATAATACTCCATTAACGTTTCTTTTGATACTGCAAGATGCATGGTAATGTCACTTTTAATTCCCAAAGAATATGATTCACACTTGTTCTGCTCAGTTTTAGAAGCAGGGAGAGAGGGACAAAGACTAGATTGAAGCATCCATAATTTAATTTTGTCAAAAATCTAATAAACACCTGCAGCACATAGTGTTTCACAGGGTTGTTACATTCTTGTTATAAGTTCCCAGGTCCTCTCATGGTTCTAGTAGTGCATACACAGCATCATGGACATGAATTTTAACACATTTAAAGCCAAGACAATATCTGGCATTGCTCCCTTTCTTTTTTTCAGGGCTCACTCACAATACAATGACTCTCCAGGAAGGCGGCTGACACCCTTGACAACTCTGTATTACCCACCAGTTAATTGACCTCTGAACTATACCTGTGATACACATGAAGCCATCAGCTGCCAATCATAGCCAATAGAGAACTAGTAAATTACAGGTTAGGTGTATGTGACATGTGAAGGAGAAGCCCTCCTGTAGAACACAAAGTCAGTGGTCTGAATACACTTCCTGCAATGGTTTTGTCCTGTCAAGTGATACAAATGTTTTTCATCACTTTCGTTTACAATAAACCCTCCTGGCAGCCTTTAGCTCAAAAGAATGAAACTGAACATTTAATAAAAACTTAATTACTTCATATCTGTCTCTGAGAAACTAAATGCTTGTGCAACTAGCAAAATGACGTTTATTAACACTGTGTACTATGAAGTATGAACTGATATTACCAAACACATCACAAAGGAAAAAAATCTATGGATGAATTCCAAATTACATAAAAAGATTAAGAGGAAGATATAAATCCAGCAGGCAGCTTCATACAGTGTGTTTACATAAGATTCGGGAATATGTTCTGTGACTTACTCATCTTACTATTATGACAAACACCTGAGAGAAAAACCTTAAACGGAAGAAAGGTTGATTTAGCTCTCAGTGTCAGAGGTTGGGATTCAAATGGATTGAAATTGTAACTTAGAACCTTAAAGCTAAAAGGGGCTGATCCTCTTATGGCAATCAGAAAGGAGTAGGCAACAACAAAGAACAGGATAAGTGCTAGCTTGCCAGAGTGTGGTCCAGCAACCTACTTCCCTGATAAGGCCCTGCCTTATAATTTCACCCCTCCCAATAATGCTGCCATATTTTCAATCAATCAATGGATGAGTCCATTCATGATTCAATCACTTTCCTACACTGACCATTAGCTGGCAACCAAATGTTTGCCCATTAGCTTTGGGAGACACTCCATATCTGCTATGATTTATGTGTCCAGTGTATTCCACAGCCTTGTGCATTGAACACTCAGTGATCAGCTCCTAGCACTGATTTGAAGGCTGTGAACTCTCTAGATGGTGGGAATTTGCTGCAGAAATTAAGCCACTGGAGGTGGGCCTTTGAAAGTCATACCTACAACAGACTGGTTCTGTCTACTTCCTGTTTACATGAACAAGCTTCAGGTCTCACAAGAATAAAAGGAAAAGACCAACCATGTCTTGCCTGCTGTGGCAGACTGAAGTTCCTCTGTAACCAGAAACTGAAAAGATCTTTCCCTCTCTTCAGTTGTCTCTGTCTCACTTTTCTGTTACAGTCACACAGAACTCATTACTACAATGTGAGAAATATAACATGCATTGTATCACTTACAGGAAATGTTATTCTTCTACTGAAAGTTTACTCATTCTGGTTGCAGGCTTCCTTATGTACTTATGACACGTGAAGCAATTAGCATAAGCATGTTGGCTTCATTAGTTGCAACAGAACTCTGCAATGCTAAATTATGTCAGTTTTAATAACAGCACATGTAGCTGCTCAACTGAAAGGCCGTTCATCCCAGTAATGATTTGATCTCTTCCTTCCATTCAAGAAATAAGAGTGAACCTCTAAGTAGGATCAGAACTAAATTTATCACAGAAAAAAAATGATCTGATATTGTTATTATTATAAGTGCAAAGAAAACTTCTGCTCCATAACTTATAATGCTCAAAGTATTTTATGGTGGTAATACCCACACACTCTATAGCAGAGCATCACAGTAGAAACACTTCCTAGAAAATTAAGAAACATACAGCTATTATTTGAAGGAACTGCTCCATAGAGTCAGTATCTTTTGATTTTTCAGCAGTGCTTTGCCAAGTGGTGTCTGGATTTGTTTTTTGGGGGTTTTTTTTTTGTCTTTTTTTTTTAACTTATCAAGCACTTTTTTTTCCTTTTTTTATTGGATGTTTTATTTACATTTCATATGTTGTCCCCTTACCCCATCCCCCACCCACCCGGGAACCCCCTATCCCCTTACCCCTCCTCCTTCTTCTCTGTGGATGTAACCCCTACCTACCACCCCACTCCCACTTTCCCACCCTCAAAATTCCCACCCCTGGGGCGTCCAGCCTTCATGAGGTCAAGGTTCTCTTCTTCCACCTATGCCCAGCAGGGCCCTCCACTCTTACATATTCAGCTGAAGCCCTGGATCCCTCCCTAAGTGCTCCCAGGCTGGTGGTTTAGACCCTGGGAGCTGTGGTTGGTTGGTATTGTTGCTCTCTTCATGGTGCCGCAAACCCTACCAGCTCCTTCAGTCTTCACTCTAACTCCTCCATTGAGAACCCCATGATCAGTTCAATGGCTAGTTGTGAGCATCTGCCTCTGAATATGTCAGACTCATGAAGACCTCTGAGGAGACATCCATATCAGGTTCTTATCAGCATGTACTTCTTGACTTCCACATCAGCATCTACCTTTGGTGACTGCACATGGGATGGATACTCAGGTGGAATGGTCTTCAGATGGCCCCTCCTTCAGTTTTTATCCCTCACTTTGTCTCCATATTTGCTCCCTTGAGTATTTTGTTGCTCCTTCTAAGAAGGACCGAATCACCCCCACTTGGTCTTCTTTCTTTATGAGCTTCATGTGGCCTGTGAGTTGAATCTTGGGCATTTCAAGGTTCTGGGCTAATATCCAATAATCAGTGAGTGAATACCATGTGTGTTCTTTTGTGATTGGCTTACCTCACTCAGGATGATAATTTCTAGTTCCATCCATTTACCTAGGAACCTCTCGAATTCATTGTTTTTAATAGCTGAGTAATACTCCATTGTGTAAATATACCACATTTTTTGAATCCATTCCTCAGTTGAAGGACATCTGGGTTCTTTCCAGCTCCTGGCTATTATAAATAAGGCTGCTATGAACATAGTTGAGCATATGTCCTTGTTATATGTTCGAGCATCTTCTGGGTATACGCCTAGGAGTGGTATAGCTGGATCCTCAGGTAATGCTATGTCCAATTTTTTGAGGAACCGCCACACTGATTTCCAAATTGGTTGCACCATCTTGCAGTCCCACCAACAATGGAGGAGTGTTCCTCTTTCTCCACACCCTCGCCAGCATCTACTGTCACCTGAGTTTTTAATCTTAGCCATTCTGACTGGTGTGAGATGGAATCTCATGGTTGTTTTGATTTGCATTTCCCTGACGACTAAGGATACTGAACATTTCTTTAGGTGCTTCTCGACCATTCGAGTTTCTTCCGTTGAAAATTCTTTGTTAAGCTCTATACCCCATTTTTTTAATAGGGTAATTTGGTTGTCTGGAGTCTAATTTCTTGAGTTCTTTGTATATATTGGATATTAGCCCTCTATCAGATGAAGGATTAGTAAAGATCTTTTCCCAATTTGTTGGTTGTCGTTTTGTCCTATTGACAGTGTCCTTTGCCTTACAGAAACATTGCAATTTTATGAAGAACCATTTGTCAATTCTTGATCTTAGAGCATATGCCATTGGTGTTCTGTTCAGGAACTTTTCCCCTGTGCCCAAGTATTCGAGGCTCTTCCCCACTTCTCTTCTATTAGTTTCAGTGTATCTGGTTTTATGTGGAGGTCCTTTATCCACTTAGACTTGAGCTTTGTACAAGGGGATAAGAATGGATCGATTTTCATTCTTCTACATGTTGTCCTCCAGTTGAACCAGCACCATTTGTTGAAAATGCTGTCCTTTTTCCACTGGACAGTTTTAGCTCCTTTGTCAAAGATCAAGTTACCACAGGAGTGTGGGTTCATTTCTGGGTCTTCAATTCTATTCCATTGATCTTCCTGCCTGTCTCTGTACCAATACCAGGTAGTTTTTATCACTATTGCTCTGTAGTGGATTTGTTTTAAATGGAAGCTCAGGGGTGTTTCTGCTGCTCCAGGTGAAGGAATCTCACACTTGACTGTCAGGATGGATGGGTAGTGTTAGTTGCATACCTGATGAGAAACAACTTGAGAAAAGAAAGGTTTCATCTGAGCTCACAGCTGTCACATCCAGTCCATCTTGGTGCATAAGTTGCAGTGTTGGGAACATGACACAGCCAGTCATGATGTGCTTGCAGTTGTGAAGTAGACAAAGATGAACTTTGATGCACATCTCCCTCTCTCCTTTGTCCCTTTTTATTCAGCTGAAGAGCCCAGTCCATAGAATGATGCTGGCTACATTCAGGTTGAGTCTTCCTTGCTCAGCTACACCTTCTGGGAAACAAAAATATAGACTCAAACAGAGGTGTGTTTTCATATTGACTCTAAATTCTAACATGTTAACAATGGAGATCCATCATCATATACAAACACATTTAGATACATGATACATAGAGGGGGAGATGGATGGATGGATGGATAGATAGATAGATAGAAGATAGATAATAGAAAAGATAGATGATAGATTATAAGATACTCATACATTGATGCATAGATATATAAATACACAAATAAATATATTATTCTATCATATTCTCAGCTCTTATGTTCCTGTACCCAGTATAATGGTATTTCAATATTTTGGTTTACCATTGTCATACTTTACTTCCTGTTACAGGGATACAACACCATGACTGAAAGCAACTTGGGGAGCAAAGGGTTGATTTCACCTCACAGCTTACAGTTCATTAAGAATAAATCAAGGTAGGAACTCAAGAAATGAACCTGAAGGCAAAAGGAAAAAGAAAGAGAAATGTCATGATCATAGTCTATCATAGAGGAAAGAACAGAAGCAGGAACCTGGAGGCGGGAACTGAAGAAGACCATAAAGGAATATTCTTACTCCCTTGCCACCCTTACTTGCTCAGCTTGCTATTGTATACAATCAAGGACCACCTACTAAGGGTAGCACTGCCAACAGAGGGCTGGGCCCTCACATCATCAGTTATTAAGAAAATGTTCCCATAGGAAGTGGAAACTTAAGGGTTCTTTGGAGAGTCCATTCTGTAGGATGGTGTTTTGCTGGGACAAACACATGAAGAAGTGATTCCTAAAGTGAACACAGGTGAAAGACTAAGGCTGACTTATGAAGGAACATTTCACTGAAGCAGACACAGGAGAGCAGATGTTCTTCTAAAGTAAGCACTTGAAAGGATTCTTTACTAACAACAAACATGTATTGGTCTGTCCTACATTGCATAGTTGAGTTCCATTTCTTGGAACTCCAGGGACTCAGGCTGATGAGATGCACATGCTGAGGCAAGGCACATGAAGGACACTTGATATTTGAAGGGTATAAATAGGACTCCACAAAGTAACAGAAAGAAAGCTTGGCTTGCAGGTACAATTAGCTGTCCAATGCTTGTGGATCTCGAATCTTAGCTGATCTTCACTTTCCTAAGAGAGGCACAGCTGAGAACTTCTAGTGTCCCTGTTGGTCCCTCTGGCTGACTTGAGCTGAAGCTGACACCTGGCTCTCTCTGCTAGGTAGTGTCACTGCTGTTGCTAACCCAACTGTACTGAACTGAACTGCTGATGTATTCATGAAGTGTGTGCGAGTGAACTGAGCTGCCACTACCTGCTAATCTGTGAACTGAACTGCTGATTTCCAGACAACACAGACAGGAGTTGCTCCAAAGAACCTTTCTAAACAGGTCCACTTCCCCCATATCCTATCTTTTCCATCACCTCTGGTAGGTGGTGGGCTACGAGGGAGGTTAAAGTGTTTAAGAGCCATCATTAAAAATAGGATGTAAGCTCTTTCTCTTCCAGTCCCAGGCTCTGCGGGAGCTACAGGTTACCGTGCAGACATGGCCAAGTCCAAGAACCACACCACACACAACCAGTCCCATAAATGGCACAGAAATGGCATCAAGAAACCCAAGTCACAAAGATATAAATTTCTTAAGGGGGTTGACCCCAAGTTCCTGAGGAACATGAGCTTTGCCAAAGAATCACAACAAGAAAGCCCTGAAGAAGATACAGGCCAACAGTGCAAATGCAGTGAGTGCATGCGCAGAGGCCCTTGTGAAGCCTCAGGTCATCAAGCCCAAGATGCTAAAGGGCCCCAGTCACAAATTCAGCCATCTGGCTTTCATCATTCACCCCAAGCTTGGGGAGCAAATTCAAAGCTACATGGCCAAGGGTCGTAGGCTCTGCTAACAAAGCAACAAACTAAGACAGAGGCCGCAGCTCCAGCTAAGGCCCAAGCTTCAGCTCCAGCTCGGGCTCCCGAAGGTGCCCAGACCCCTGTAAAGGTCCCATGAAAAAGGCTCCTGCGAATGAGAAGATAGATGGCCTGCTGGGACACACCTACCCACATACTATTTGCAGATGACCAGTGTCCTATGCTGTTTTTACAAATAAACTTGAGGCAAGAAAAAAATATAGGATGTGAAAAAAATTAAAATTACACCCATAGACTTACCTATAAGCCAATCTAATGGAAATATTTTCTCAATTGAAGTTGCATCTGTTCAAATGATACTGACTTGTGTGACAAAATATATACAGCAAGAACAATAAGTGTCTTTGAAAATATACTTTAGAATAGGTTATAATTGTAGTTTATTATGCTTAGAGTAGTAATTATAATAAATTATAATTAAAATCTTTCTCTGAATATTCCAAGCTATTTAAATTATAATGAAATTGTTTTAACTTTTATTCTATTTTCCTACTGAATTATAGTTTTATTTCACATTTAAACCAACTACTCAGAGCCAATTTCAATTTTTTCTCATGGATATTAGCATCTCAAAGGTAATTGCATCTGTTTTATATGAAAACATGGAGCTCTGTATTTATTTTGTTTCTAAATATCTCGTGAGTCATTATTTATAAGTGTTTTCCTATGTAAACAATCCTTCTCAGCAAACAGTATTTACAATCACTGTGGTGCCTTGTTTTTCTTTCTCAGTGTGTTAGATGAAATATCCAGAAATAATCATGAGCAGTCCTGTGTCCCTGTTTGCTTCTCATTTTCAGGCTAATGTTTATAGGCTGAAACCGTGGAGACTAAAATCGAAATACAGTGTAGTATATTTGACAAAGAAAACAGGACTTATGGATCATTAAAATTCAAGTGTAAACTGGAGTCACCACTGCTTGTCTGTCTTCTGATGGGGGAGATGTAACCAACTGAGGTGAGGAAGACAAGATCATCAATGCTGACATGCTTTAGTACCTGTGACTTGACCAAGTGCGATATCAGACTAAGATTATATATGTATGATGGTGAAATTCAAAGAAAACACCAGGCTCGAAGGAAAATATCATTCAGCCATTGAAAAGATAGAACTGAAGCCATTAGGTATAGATTCTAACACTTATGAAAAGGAGAAAGAGTAAAAGGACTGGTATCAGCCCAAGGTACCCTAAGACCAAGTTCTCAGCACGAAGGAGATTTATTTTCCCCAGAGGGACAAAGAGAAGAAATTAAGAGACAAAGACAAGAGATAGAGGATGAGGGAGAAGGGAAAGGTAACAAGGGAGAAAGGGAAAGGTGTGTTTGTCTTGGAGGGGCAATGTCAGCCTCTGGGTAGATAGGAGACCAGCATGGACCATGGGCAAATGGCAGCTTGCAGAGGTAAAAGGGGAAATGCAATGTTAGGATGAGTTGGTTAGTTTTGATTGGGCATGTTAATTAGGTCAGTCAAAAGAGTCTTTTGATTGCTTGACTTCAATGGTTTGCCAGCTGGACCTTAATAGTCAGCTAAAGAAGGAAAAAGTGGCCAAATACGGGAATAGACCTTGGTGGCTAGCTTTAGGAATTTATCTAATAGTTTTTGGCAAAGAAGAGGAAATGAGAGAGAAGGGCAAAGCCTGCCAGAGATGGGTCTGCCATACCTGGGCCTGGTAGAGTCTCTTCACAGAAATGTTCCAGCACTGAGCCTCAGGAATTCTTGATGGCAGGAAGTTAATGCTGAGAGTGTGCAGAAGTGTGCATGAGTGTGTACATGTGCATGCGTGCGTACGTACGTGCGTGTGTGTGTGTGTGCGTGTGCGTGTGTGTGTGTGTGCGTGTGCGTGTGTGTGTGTGTGCGTGTGTGTGTGTGTGTGTGTGTGTGTGTGTGTGTGTGTGTGTGTCTTGCTGGGGACTGAATCCATGACATTTCACATGCTAGGCTAACATTATCACAAAGCTAAGCCCAAGATCTTTGCTTATATATTTGATATAAAAACTCTGCTTTACTTGTCTTTTGTTCCTGATGATTTTTATAACAGTCTTGTGCAGGTCACCATGGACTACTGAAAAGATTCCTTTCCTGCCCTCATTAGCCAAGTAGGAGCATTTCAGGGAACCATGCCTCTTCTGGCTAAGACACAACACAGCAATCCTATGGCCCTTCCTTCCCTTTGGCCACCTGCATTAACTTATGGTTATGCTAATTACAGCACTTCTTTCACAACTTAAAGAGTTTGAGGAATATCATGTCTACAACTGTCCAAGAATTCAAGCTTTAGCAGGGAAGAAATGTCTATTGTGTAACCAAGGCTAGATTTCCAGTCTTACCTCCCATCCCACAAGACAACACCCAGGTTTTAATTACATAATTACATTTTCTCTCTTTTCAATGACATTCTTAATATTGGGGATGTGCACATAATAGACTTATCAAGGCTGGGGATTGGGGCAGACTGTCAACTTATGAGTTCCACAAACAATTATATCTCTCAATCATGCATAAAACCTACAGTGGAAGAGCCAGATGTGGGGGCTCAGGCTGTAATCCTGACATGGAGGCAAGTCTGAGGCCAGCCTGTGCCATAAAGCAAGTTCTGGATGGCCTGAACAGAGTGAGATTTTTAACTAAACAAAAGCCAAAGCAAAAACAAGCAAACAAACAAAACAGAACTATCGATGGAAGACCCCATGAAGTTCAAGAACATGCCACCTAATCCAGAAAACAAATATTAGTCATCTTTCCTCCAAATTTAGGTCTCCAAAGACAGATAGAGGTATCTGTGAATCCTCACTATAGAAGTAGAGGTCAAAGAATTAAGAGTTCAAGGTCATCTTGTATTATATAGAAAGTTAAGAGGAAAGGCCTGGGATCCATGAGAACTTTGTCTCATGAAATTAAATTAAAACAAACAAATAAATAAATAGTCACTCAAGGAAGCTGAAAGACACATTAGTCCCTCCACCAGGACCTACCAGCAATGCCTCAGCCTTCTCTCCTGATTTGTCCTCTCTCACTATATAGAATCATTGTCCATTTCTATCTCAGAAAATTGCCTCTGGTATACAGCATAGTTTCCCAACTTTATGTTTCAGGCCATACATTCAGAGTCTCTGATTCCAGGTTCTTAGAATTAATAAGGCAAGTGCTTCATTCTTAATCTCGGATCCAGCTTCCAAAGATCCCCTCCCAAGCTGGTGAACACTATTGAGTTAATAAAATATGATCAAAGAAGAGTTCAAGGTAAGGTCAGGAGAGATGAAGTGATACTTAACCCATCAGTTAATATATTTATTGGACTACATTAAGCTTATAGGTATCAGATTGTGTTCTGTAGATCTTTCTCCAATATATAAATAGATTTTTATAAATTTGTTTTGAATTGCCACGTTGGCTACCATACTCTTAGTACACAATAAACCACAATGCACTCTACTTCTGAGTTGTTAAACAAATTACTTGTGATTGAACTCTGGACCTCAGTAAGCAAATCAGAGGCCTGTCAACCCTCTCTAAGGATCCCTGGGACTGGCTTAAGAAGGAGCATTTCTAGGGCAACCGTTCAGCAGAAAAACGAAGGTAGATTATGGACAAGTCACAAGCATTGCCACCAGACAGACCTAGACCTCCATTTCCTCACCATAAACTGCTTGTGAAAAAATCCAGAAAGTCATACCATCTTTCAGAATTTATTTCCTCTGGGGATGGGGGGGGGGGGTACCAATAGAGCATTGTGGTGGGAAACCTTTATATGAAAAAATCTATTTTTAATACAAAATGAAAAAAGATTACTAGAAAACCAATGATAAAGCTTGTGCAGTCGGTGCACATGGTATCAATATTAAATCAATATGCAGGGATAAATCTCTGAGCCAGAAGTTTTCTATGACAATAATATAAAGATAAGGACTGCAATTTAGGACATGAGCACAGGCTGAGGTAGTCTCCAGATGACCAAAGAATGGCAGCAAACGATGGAGCATTACTGGGAAAGAGAAAGTTGTCTAAGTTGCTTGAAAGGAACTCTCATGTGGCCATGTCCTTCTAGAGCTTCCCGGCTCCCATTAGTGACTGGCAACAACTGACGGGCAGAACCTCCATCTTAGAGTACTGGCAGCTGCCTTGTTGGGCACAAGGGAAGCATACATATGCAAACATCTAGCTGTTCTATTGTAGGCTGTCCTGATGGGACTCTATAGTACACTGTGGTTTGGAAGAACAAAATCTTATGTTTTTCTAGTAAGAAGCAGACCATGCATGTTCAGCTTCCCTCCACTTTGCCAGGGCTAGACATACAACTCCATTTTGAATCTAGCAACTATTATAACAGAAGGGCTCTGCACATAAACATAATGCTATGACTTGAATCTGAAAAGTCCCCAACAGGTTCATGTGTTTAACACTTACTCTGCAGTAGGTGGTACTATTCTGAGAGGCTATGGAAGTTGGGATCAGGCAGGTAGAAGTCTAGGGCCTAGAAAGAGGCATTTGAATGTCTATCCAGCCCTGACTTTTGTCATGCTCTCTGCTTCCTGATATGATGAGATGAGAACAGATTCCACCCTTCATACGAGCTAAGCTACTCTGCCATCCTTTCCTCTTTTCCATGACCTGAAGTCTCTGAAAGTTTAAGCACAAATACATCTTCCCTCCTTTTTTTTTCTTTATTTGGTCAGAGTGATGCAAGAGTCATTAATATGTTTCATAAGTGCTAAGTTGAATAACTAAAAGGATAGTTTAAATTTTAATATATTTTACAAATGTAATGGAGTATTCTCTCAATTTGTTTTTTTTCAATCTTACAGCCTCACAGTAAATGACTAGTCCAGCTCACAGTGCATCATAGCTGCCCCAGAAGATACTCCGTGTCCATCCTCTCAAGACGAGGAAGATTTGTCCTATCTGTGCCCTTAATTGCATCCCTTTCCAGACAGCATCTCATCACCTTCCCACACCTTCACTTTACAGGGTTCAAGTTGGCTCTGACCCTAAAACAACTTACTCTCACTTCCGATAATGCATAACAAGAAACATTTTTATGGAATATAATGGAGAGGCTGGCAGCAGGTTGAGAATCTCGCACAAGACTTAAAATGCAGCCATTATCTGTCAGTCACATTCTGGAGCAGGTCATGCATAATAAACAGCTGATATATTAGCTTGATGGAGGACACAGCAAATATGAAATGATAGAAAGCACCACAGATCAGAACCCAGAGAGTCACAGGAAGATGTAGTAGCAAAGGCCAAATTATGGGTTCCACCAACAATGATAGCAGAGATCAATTCTGGCCACACACCTGTTCTAGCTGGGAAACCTCAGGCACATAACAAAGCACAGGAACCTACCATCTCTGGAGGGAAGACAACCTGTGTCCACAATAAATTTCTTTTCAGTTGAATAGCCAATTTAGTCTCATCAGCCCTGGGAGGCTACTGAAAACACATTCAATATGAATAAATATCAACCACCAAATCACATCTTAGGAGCAGGGAATATGGTTCAGTGGGTAAAATGCTTCCTGTGCAAGCATGAGGATCTGAATTTGGCTCCCAACACCTTCATGAAAGCCAGGACCAATGAGGTACATCTGTAGTCCCGATGTTAAGAGATACAGACAGGTAGATCCTAAGAGCTTCCTGGACAGACACTCTAGCCAAATTAGTAAGCTCAATGTTCAGTGAGAGAGCCTGTCTTACAAAATAAAATGTAGATCCATGGAAGGAGACACCTGACACTGACCTCTGACTTCAATATTCATGTACCTAGGCAAGTACTCATAAATACACACACACACACACACACACACACACATACACACACACACACATGTGTATGCACAGGCACGTGCACATGCATATATGCATACTGCAAAATAATGCTATTTTTTATGTTGGAGTAGTAAAAATATTTGATAAGGTTATGGCTTTAGCTCAGATTAATATTTCATTTCTAACTTTATCACTTGTTAATGACGCATAGGAAATGGGAATTGGTTAAGTCAAAAAAAGCACATGACATAAAGGAGAAGTCAAAACAAAAGCAATCAGAAGACCCAATTTTCTAAATCATCACCATGCTTCCCAGAAAATATCAAAAATGCATTACCTCTACTACACTGAAAGTAATCTCACATTCCATATGGAGGAAAGGGCTTTAAATTCATAGAAATTTCTTATGGTCATGCTGGTGCATGCCTTTATTATGAGCAGAAGCAAGTGGGTCTCTATGATTTTGAGGCCAGCCTGGTCTAAGTTCCAGAATAGGCATGGCAATGCAACAAAAGAAAAGAAGAGAAGAGAAGAGAAGAGAAGAGAAGAGAAGAGAAGAGAAGAG